TGCTGTGGGCTTTTGTGAGGCCCAAAATGAGCTTCTCTAATGTCAGCCAACTGAACTAATGTCATCGTGTTCCTGGCTCCGTGAGTCCTAGACGACTGTTTGTTGTTTTTCTCCCCTCGTCGCTGACTGAAAGGTCCCCACAAATGTAGGCTACCTTTTGTTGTGCATTGCTGCCAATAAAGGTACCAGTATAACAGCCCCCAGTAAAATCTTGCCCTTGACTACATCTTTTTGGTTCCTTTGAAAAGTAAGGATGCAGCTTCATGTGTTCTTTATTACTGCTATGAAAGTGGAAGAGAAAGAAAGGACTGGGGAAGATGCATAGACTTGGTTTTCCATGGGAATGTGAAAATGCTGTTGGATGAGTGGTGGTATTCTCCTAAAGACTTCTGTTTCTCTTTCAGAAGAAAACAGTTCGATGTGCTATTTTCATTGTTCCCATTTCTCTTCACCATGCAGTGTTTCCAGGAACACAGCATTTTCAAGATTTTTTGACAGTGGAAACATCTCACTGCTGTTTGAGTGAGGAGTTCCCGTATTCTGGCTTAACGAGGAGGCAGTGATGGGTGCACCAAGCTCTTCTTCACCCATTAAGGTGCAGTGAAAAGCCGAGGTTATAGAATCTCTTCAAAGGTGCAAGAACTGATGAGTGAGAGTGTTATTTGTGCTGCCAGACGAACTGAGTGCTTTGAGGAAAGGCCATAAAAAAAAAAAAGCTAGTTTTGGCTCTGACAGTATTTAGACACTCAGAGAACATTAATAGTTCAGGGGTGGGATGTAAGCTGTAGTAGAATTGGTGAAATATTTGAGGTCTGAATTTTGCTTAAGAGTGGAGTTTCTCTCTTGCTGTGCCCCCAGGGTGTCCATCCATCCATCCAGGCTGGCTGGGTCTGATCTTTCGTTGACCATAACTCGTGAAACTGGGTAAAGCATGTTGCAGCCTGGCAGTACAGAGTTGAGCTTGGACTCAGGAGAGCGGGTCCTCAGTTCCTCTGTTGTGTGCTGGTGGTTTGTGTTGAGGAGAGGAGCATGGGCAGTATCACGTATGCTGAAGAAGGGTCACAGCTGGAACGTGGCTTTGAGAAAGCTCCAGTGTCCCCTCGCTGTCTGCACTGTCCCTATTCAGGCGAAGGGGAGTAGCCATCATTCTCGCCCACCAGGACTGTCAGCTGGGGCAACAGCACTTTTGCTTTGCATCTGAGCAGTCGTGACCCGGAAATCTGTGAGGAACAATAAATAAGGAACACACCTCGCAACTTCTGAGTCTTCCCCCCCCCTCCAAGAAACAAAAAAATCTCTTTTAAATAGCATCCTTTACATTTGGGAGCTGCTTGAATTCACCCTGTCACATAAATTACCATCTTTGAACTCGGCTGTCAGGAAGCGTCCTCACGAGTTAACATCCATGGGGGGTGTCAGTGGAAGGGGATCGGTTTCATGGAAAGCAGGAGGAATTCAAGTGTCAAGTGAATACGCTCGTCCTCACGTTACCTCAAGCAGCGAGGGCATCTCAGTCCCGACGGAGATGAGCCCCGGCATGACCTGCACTCCTCAGACTGTCCTTGTTCCCTTCGCTTCGGCAGATGCCAGGCTGGGTCTGACATCTGGAGGAAGCCCCATCCTCCTGCTTCTCAAGCAATTAGAGCTTGGCCCAGCAAGTGGCCCTGGAGCAGGGGCTTCAGGAGTATTATAGCTTCCTTACAGGGATAAAGGCCATGGGCTTTTCTCGCTGCTCTGCTGCTTTCTCTGGCTTTGATGCCGCTGCCGTTGAAACGAGATTGGCCCATCTGGTAGCGGAGGAGATGAGCTCTGCCAGACGGATGGGGCTTGCTGGGGAGGGTTCAAAAGGCAGCGCCTGCCCTGTGTCGTATTTCCTGCAGTCTAACAAAGCCCGTGTTTTCTGAAGCTACTTTTTATCCTTGTGCGTTGGTTTTGGCATGGATGCTTTTATTCCATTTGAAATAAGCGGGAGAACAACGTGAATAAAATACCAGTTCCAGCCCCCCCCCAAAAAAAAAAAAAAAAGGATCATTCAAGGGAGTTGTAAGGATCCATCATGGTGAGAGCAGTTACAATTGTTTGCTGGTAGGAGTTGAGATACGGAGTGAGGCTTCGCGGTGTTGGTGGGGGTGTCTGTCCGAGGTGTTACCCCGTGGCGGCGTGCGCGGAGCCTCGCTGCAGCAGTGTGCAGCGCTGGGTGGGATGTCAGCCCTGCGCGCACGCTTTTTCGGCTTTCCCCGTGGCCACAAGGAGAGGGGAATTTGCAGTAATCCAAACATTGACCGAACTGTATTTGTTGACTTGCAGAAAAGCCGAACTCGTGCTCCTCTGGGCTGTGATCACGTAAGCCGAAACGCAGTGACTGGTGCCTGTGCTTGCTGCCCTCCCAGCCCCGATAAAGCTGTGGAGCACATTCATTTATTTAGGCCCTGATTCAGCAAAGCACTCAAGTACATCCTTCAGGTTTTCTTCTTTCCAGTGAGATTGTTGGCATGCTCAAAGTTAAGCACATGCTTAAGTGCTCTCCTTGAGCACACAGCAAACAAGTCACGGGGGCAGCGTGTGCTGCTGCAGAATTGAGGCCGCCGGTATTAAAAATGTATTCATTTGTTTGGCTCCCCCCAGTACAAGAGCCTTAGTCCCAGGGTCTGAGATGATAATCTGTCCTTCTGCAGGAAGGCAGTTGTTGCCGTAGCACAGAATATTCCTTGTGGCTCACTCTCATGTGTTGAACAGATGAGTGTGCCCTTCCACAGGGTGTGGGGCAGGGGGTCTTGGTTTCCGTCAGGACATTCGCAAGTATTTTTTCAGAGTTTTCTGTTTGTTTTTTTCCCCCATAAGAGCTGTAAAAGAAAAATATTAACCATGTTACGTGTATCTGAATGTCTCGATATTTGTAGTTTAATGTTTGGTAGGATTCATTTGACTTATCTTCCATTAACATGTCCCTTCATCTTGGGGACAGAGCAGCTTGGGGCGGGCATGTACCTGTGTGTCTGTGTGTGCACGTGGGTGCTCTGGAGCTACACGGGGGAGAGGGTGAGTGGTTGGTTTGTTCGATTCTTCGGGGTTTCTCAAGGTGTAAGGGCTGGGAAGTGGCAAATGTTACCACACTCTTTGTATGTCTTGGCGTAACTGTGTGTTAAATTCAGGCCCACTGTATTCAGGCGCCAGCGTTAACAGACCCTTGCTTCCCCGGGAACAGGCACTTTAGCCACAAGATGGTTGTATTTCAGTCTGCTCAGAGCAGCTTCCGAGAGAGCATTCTTTCTAATCCCCACCCATATCTGACCTGTTCTAGCTCGTTTTTAAGAGCTGCGCCCAGCCAGTCCCTAGCTGCCTGCAGAAGGGTTTCCGCACATCTTTTGCTGCTTGCTGAGCTCATTCGGACTGGGAGCCCATACATCAGTGAATGGGATTTCTGTATAAATTCGCCCTTTCTGCAAAATTGGAATTGGTTTAGAGCGTCTCTGTTCCTTTATGAAACCCAGAAGACACGAGCATGGCTAAATGTGCTTTTTTTTTTCTTTCCTTCCCTTTCAAGTTTAAAACATGCCTAACAAATCTGATGTTTGCAGTCTCTGTTCCCCACCTGGTGTGCCAAAATGCAAAGGTCCTTCCAGAAGCATGGGTCAGACTAACCTTTGTGCTTGTGCTGCAAGCTGGATTGCAAGGGTCTGAGCAGTTTTCATTACAAACTTGACTCTGATTAGCCTAGAAAATACTTGCAATGTAGGTTTAATAAATGTTGGTTTTTTAATGTGAAATAATGTGATCTGTGAATCAAACAGCCTCTGTGCCCCACCCCTTGCTGCCGCTGACAGCCTCTTCCCACACTTCTGCCTTGGTAGCATTGTTTGACTGTTCCAGCACCAGTAGGTTTCAGTTACTGATCAGTGTAATTGCAACAACACACCAATAATAAAAGAGGAATTTAAGCTTCCTCTTCTTGTAGTTGAAGGCTCTTCTCCTGCGAAAGCTTGAAGTCTTAATAACAGTCACACGAGCAACATCCCGCGCCTGTCAAGCGTTTGCAGAACGGGGCGGCAGTGCTTCAGGCAGATGAAGGGCTGGATTCGGGGAGCTTGGAAGCAGCCCAGTCCTGTCAGGCGGCATCGGTACAGCTAATATTAGATCGGGAAACTCTAGGGACAGCTTAACATTTTAGTGGATGCCAAGGAAGCCTTGCATCGGAACGCACTGAAAGTTGCTTGTTGTGTAACAGGAGTTGCTGGAGTCGGAGTAATTCGAGTTGCATTTAGGCTGGTGGAAAACTGCAGCTGTGAGCAAGGAGTTAATTTTTTCCGTGTGTGTGTGGCTCGGGTTTCCCTGTCGGGTTTGCTTTTAGTTCTGTGGGCTCTGGATCCGTAGAGCAGCGACATGTGGCATCCCAGGCTGCTGCCGAACAGCTCAGCAGCGAGCCATGGGTTAAGGAAAGCACCTTGAAAATGCGAAGCGGTTAGGGGGCTGAGCTGTCGCGGCTCCTGCTTTGTACACAAGAAAGCCACGGCCTGCTCTTC